TAAGTAGTTTACACACTCTCTAAAAGGTCAGTCAGGCAATTAACTTAATAGTTCACAATGTCATTCTGCAACTATTTAAACTCCCATAAATGAATTGACTGCAGTTCAAATGTTTCTTGCCCGTGACCTTAGCGTACTTTCACTTTGTTAATTCTTCTCAGCAGCCGGTATGTATTCCTTGTGCCAAGAAACGCTGCGCGGCCAGGAGAAGGCACTCCTCTTTCCACCTTGATTTCAGACATTGTGTAGCCACTTACTGCCTTTAATTTGTGCAGTGACCTCTGTTTCTTAAGCACTTTATATCCATGCCTTGCATACCTGTTGGATGTCTATTATTTCCACGTTGTAAGTGGAGCTCCTGCAGCACGGAGGCCGCCTGGTGCAAGGTCGCGCAGCGCGACTAATAGAATTAGAGCAGAGCTCGGGTTTCTCTGACTGCCGTTCCCTCTTTCAGCTTGCCTGTCGACAGTTTAAAAACCTCGCAGGACCCGAAGGGGGTTCTCCTTTGTCTTTTCATAAAATGTGCAAGCTCTGTTTTAGAAGCCCTTGCACTGTGAAGCCCCCAGTCCCCCTACTGAAAGGCCTCGGTAAATGGGATTTCTGGCCAAAGGTGCCAGTCACCAGTTAATAACGATTTTGGCGTGCGTTGACCTTGAGGGGCGTGTGTTGGGTATCTCTTTCTTACTGACTTCTGTGGGGCAATCTTGCCCTGCTAATTATACTGGTGGAAGAGGAGAGTTTCGATTCCGCTTCCCTCGTCAGCTTTATCTAATCCCTGGGTGTAAAGGGCCTGGTGCTGCAAACCTCTGTGCTCAGGAGAGAATGTTTTCTCTAGAGAGAGGTCTAGAGGTCTGCGATCTGAAAAATCCAGATCATATTCCCGCCTTTACCACTGATTTGCTTTATCACCTTGCCTTGTCACATCACTTTTCAGTGCCATAGCGTTGCATTGGTCCAGATAAAATCGAGATGATGTTTCACGAGGTCCCGCTGTTGGCTTTCAATGCTCTCTCCGAGCTCCTCAGCCTTTGACCAGGAGCTCCTGAAGAGCTCGGGATCCACCCCATGTGCCTTGGCCTCTTCTAAAACACGTGGCGTGCGTCTCTGGTTGATTTGTTTGTAGTCCCACAGAGCCCTGCTGCTGGCAGGGAGGCGTCTCCATCCTGCTCCCGCGTCTCCATGTACCCCCGCGGCTCCTCCTGGGTCTCTGATGCTTGGAGCCAGCGCTGCCAGCACCTCGTGCCTTGTTCTGTCCTGGGGAAATGCCACTGCTGAGACCTTGCAGGCCAGTTCGGCGGGGTGTCCTGAGCTCCAGCCACCCCTTTGTTAGCAAGTGCTCTGGCTCGCGTGGGAGCAAACGGAGTCTAACAGCCCACCGGGAGGTCCGCAGGAGCCCTCCCTGCGTGCGAGTTATGGATGACTGCTCATAGGATGCACCAATGCCATAAACTGCAACTACACAAATTCCCTAGATTATCATAACGTCACTTAATAGCGCACAAGGTTAAGGCTCGGAGTAACGCCGTAACGCTTTGACTCTGGGAAAGACCTGAGGACATTGGATAAAGTGATGCAGGTAATGCAGGCCTTGATGAACGCATTGCCAGCTAGGCTTCAGCTTCATCTTCATTAGTGATGTTCTGTCTAGCATAGAGTGAGTGAAATAACAAAAGGAAACAGGAAGATAAAGCAAAGCGCTTTCGTTTTTTTTTTTTTTTTGAAGGCAAGGAGTTTTGTCTAGAAAAGACCTGCCTAATCCCTCTGAACAGGGGATCTGGCACCATGCTTGCTGTGGAAAGTTTTTAAATAAGATCTAGGCTTGCTTTGCAAATGTCAAGTGCTAAAACTCCTGTCGACTTCCACAGGGCAGGAATTTGTCCTGGTGGTGGAAATTTACTTGGGATTGCGTAACCTCCACAGACCAAGCGCAGCGGTGGGAGACAAATCCCTTCTTGTGGTTTACCGTGCCAGGCAGTGAGAGACGACTGTTTACAACAACCTTTGCCCCAAGAAAAACAGTAACAAAACAAGTATTTACACGTTCAACATGTTTTGTGTTTACAAGGACGGAAGAGTTTGTGAAAATGTGAGTTATGCCACGAAGAGTAACGTTCTCGTGCTCGGAAGGAGCCGGTGGCCCAAGTCCGCGCGAGGAAACGGGCTGAGCAGAGCCAGGGCGGCCGGGAAGGGGACGCGGTCCGGGGCTGGGGACCTCAGCCAGGGTAAGAGCAACCATCCAACATAGTGTGTGTGGGGGGGGGGG